ATGGGCCAAGTCCACGGGAACCTCTTCTAAAATCGCGCATCAGCTTAGAGTCACTCCTCAAACCACCACTCGCAAACATCCGCCTCTGTGGATATGCGCCTTAGACAGTTAATTACAATCTCAGCCCTTCCAAGGCACCGTCATCTTCAGGCCCAAAGTTGGTCCCTAGCCTCGGAGCGGGTGGTCGAGAGACGCGCGACGCTCGGAGCGGAAGGTCGAGCGACGCTCGGAGATGTCCAACTTCTGGTGTGGCTCAAGCTGCCCCAAACTCAATGTGTGCCGCTTTGATTTTGTGTTGCCATTGTGGCACCGCCCCAGACCCGTGCACCTGCCAGAAATGTGAGTGCAAGCAACGCAAATGGAGCGGCAAAAAAGCCATGCAAATCAAATAGCTGAATGAACACCATGCACCCATACCAAAATCCCATGCAATTATGTACCGGGGAAGATGCATGAATCAGGTAACATGACTTGTGAAGCGTCCTTGCGCATCCTATGCCTGCCACAAGACCTTGCATTCCACTCCTGCGGTGCGGGGCAAAACCGAGGGGTGCAATCGAGTTTGAATCCGGTACACAGGGTTTAGCAGTAAATGAGAGGGAACAATGTGGGTGTATCTGTTTAAGGGTATCCCTTTCTTGTGGCTTGGGAAACCCAAAAGGAAAGCTCCCCCCTACAAAAGACATCAGGTGAAAACCGGGCGGTTCAACTGAATCTCTCGATGGTGACCCTGCCGGTGGATTGTTACCGGGTCCAACCCCCCCCCGAAAAAAACACGATGCATTCCCTCTAAAACTGACACCCCCTAGCAATCAACCAGGGGCTTGGGGTCAACTAGAACGTCATCATCTGACTCAAAACCCACCCTCGATTCTGAAGCACAACGTTAAATTACAAAAGCCATTGCCAATACAAACTCCTTGCATAGTCTTAAGGGTTGCTTCTCCAAAAAAATGGAAAACAGCTGCCGCAAACTGCAGAACTCAGGGCAGCGATGCAAAACTGCCCTGCCACTTGTTTGTTTGTTGTTCTCTTTTTAGGTTCCTATTGCTGTCCCAGTTGCCAGACAGGGAGAGGACCGGAGACGAGATGGGAAGGTGCCGTCTATCTTCACGCATTTCACTTTGGGCATGGGCTCTAGGCTGTTCGGGGAATTTCAAGGGTAGCTAACTGAGACTTGGTCACAAATGTGGTACAGATTGTGGGCTGCGGCCGCGGCTCTGTTCCAAAAACCAGCAACCCGGAAACGACAACTCACACCCCTTTGACCTTCGGCGTGTCCATGCGAACAACGAACCCGCTGAACTCCCAAACCGAGAAGAAGCAGCCAGAAATGCAAAAGGGATTCGCCATGGCGGCCCTGAAAAACCAGGGCCGAAGTATGACGCGCCGTATATCCCGGCAAGGGAATACACCACGTGGAAACAGGCGCGGTTTGGCGCAACACGGAGCTCACGCCTCGGAGGTGACACGATCTACGGCTACCTTTAGCCCTCCCGCTGGGCAGGAACCAATTAATGCTATTGACAGTATCTGAAGAATACGGCTCTCCTCTGGCCAGGTCGAGAAGGTCTCGAGAGAAAACCACCCAAAAAAAAGCGTGTACGAAAGGGGCTTCCCAACCCCCTTCCCCTGACAAGGAACCGCATGAAGCCACATTAAACAATCCCCTGCTGGATTGTTTGTTTGATTCAGGGGTGTGTGTCCCCCATTAAGTGCGGGGCTTCACTTGAGGGGAACTGCCTCTGAACCTGGCGTCAACATTTTGACCAAGTGGGCATGGGTCAAAATTAAACCACCAGGAATCGGACCGCAGATTAAATCGTCCATGTTTTCATCTACCAGGGGTTCCATTTGGCTGTGGGTCAAAACCAATGGGATCCCATTTTGGGGTGGATGCACCACCCATTTTAGAACCGATTTTAGTGGGGATTGAATCGGGTGTTCACTGGGGGTGCGGTTTGGGTGTTGACCCATGGATCCATTTTGGGGTTACTCAATTTTCCCGCCGAGTCGCTCTTTGGTCACCTCCGCGACGCCCGCCTGCGCGCCGAGAGCCCATGGAAACGTGCCCGTCAAACTGTGAGCAGCGGCAAGAGTGCCATTGCTTCCCCCACACAAAGGCTTTCAGAGGGATTGGAGCTTCTTGGCCAGTGGGGAGTGGGAAGCTGTGATACTCTGACCCGGCACCCTTGGGCCAGTCAACCATTGCCAGTGGGGAGTGGGAAGCTGTGATACTCTGACCCGGCACCGTTCAGCAAAGCCAGTCGCTACGGAAAAAAACACAGGGGCCCTGCGTGGATCCCCATGTGCCAAGAAGCACAGGGACTGAAAGGCAGACAGAAAGCAAGAAAGCAAGAAATCAAGAAAGCAAGAAAGCAAGAAAGCAAGAAGGAAGAAAGCAAGAAAGCAAGAAAGCAAGAAATCAAGAAAGCAAGAAAGCAAGAAAGCAAGAAAGCAAGAAAGCAAGAAAGCAAGAAAGCAAGAAAGCAAGAAAGCAAGAAAGAAAGACAGAGTGAGGCAGAACCCACAAGGGTCGGAGAACTGGACAGCCATTGTGGCCTCTGCTAAACTTCTTTCGGCCCGCCTGGTCGGAGCAAACACAGCGATTTCCCATCGTACATGGCCGGATTTTCGTGTTTCCCGTTCTCTCGCCTGGATTTTCGTTCGCTTTTAGATGTTGGTTGGCGTGGGTTGCTTCGCTGGCTTGGACTCGAGATACGTAAATTTACACGTCACTCTGAGCTCAGTCGGCGCTGGCGCTGGCTCATCCGAGCCTCTCATGGCACACTCGATGCACCGAAGCCATCCCGTGAGATGAAGCTAGCTAAAGGCAGCCGTGTCAGCTGACGTCTTGTTCTTCAGCAGCTCCAAGCTGGCCCCAAACTGGAATAACACATAGGAAGACCGAACCAAATTACTGAACAAAGGACAAGCAAGCTCGACCCGTTGTTAAAAGCTGGGATGCCAATTCTAGTTCCATCCGAAGCCTCCAACAAGGGCAGCCAACCAACCAAACAAGCAAGCGAAGCGAAGCGAAGCGAAGCGAAGCGAAGCGAAGCGAAGCGAAGCAATGCAGACAAACACAAATCCTTCCCCATCGGCCGGCATGCGAACGATTGCCACTTTTCCGAGAAAAAAGAGGCACGTCTGAGGATCTGACAATGGCTTCGGCACGCTTCGGCTCACTCTTGGCCGTGGAAAATAGAAGCTCGGCATCCGCTTTGAATGATGAAGAAGCCCTTGCATGTACAAATGTCGGTTGGAAAATGTTGCCTGGAACACATGAAACGCCCGGTCTCCGATTGAGCTCAAAGTTACCCTGACTCAACACTGTCAAGAGCCGCGTTCATTCTTCTGACTCTGGTTCTTTCTGGGCTACTGACCAAAAGACTCAGCTTTCCACGGCCAAAAGCGCAGCCACATTCTCCGGCCACAATCGGCGCATCGGCGCGTTTTGAAAATGGAGCTGGCGGATGCGAAGGACTTCTCGAAACCTACGACAACATGGGCCAAGGGAAACCCACGGAAAAACAAATGGTTGTGGGTCTTACGTAAAAGACAGACCCGCATGCTCTCAAGGTCACGTGATACGTGAACAAGCTTGTTTTGACTCTTTATTGACTGCGTTTCAAACGGCAATCCAGTTCTTTTGGGATGGCTTCAAGAGATAGGCCGATGGCGGCTGTGATGGAACTGATTCGGATATTCACTGCGCCTCTTTCCAAGCAACTAAGCACCATGTCGATCAGGTCCAGCAAACAATCACTCAATTCAACTGTTTGGCTGCTTCCCCAAATGAACATCTCGATGAAAAGCCTGAAGCTTCGCAGCCGACTCAAAGCGCCAGCATGTCGCCCGCGGCAAAAAACCGCATGACACCGACAGCCCAGCCAGTGCTCTGGCGGATGGTCCGCCATGTCCCCACGGAAACTCCCTGGGAATTCCCCCAACTTCAGGTGGCCCCACCCTTTGGTCTTCCCAAAGCGTGGGCACCAGCCAACTGGGTCTTGAACATGGACCTAGGTAACAGTTACCCTGTCCACGTTGCCATGGAACCTGACGTTTCGGGGTCCTAGACCATCTTCCTAGCACGACCTCTGGTGGGCTCCATGGCCACGTGGACAGGAGCGTGAACAAGCGCTGGTTCTCTCGAAGCTTCTCTCACCTCCATTCCCCATCAAAACCTCGTTGGCTCTGGTTGGGGAGGGCATGCGCATCGAATCAGAGGGCCGATCGATTCGCTCGGCCTGGGCCAGTGGAAAAGGGGGCCGCCAGGCGGAGATCCCCCGAAGGGGCGAATTGGATCCCATCACCCCATCTTCGCGTGCAACTTCACGGTGAGGACCTCGAAGACTTTGCGGGCGAGGCAACTCCTTTTTTTTTGTTCTTTTGTTTTTCTTTTTTCGTAAGTGAGACTTCGATGCCCGAATGGGGGGGGAGGGGGGGGGAGCGAACCAGCTGGGAGCATCACCCCGGCTCAGAAGCTGCAAGTGCAAACCGTACCCTCCAGGTCTCTCTGACCTGCGAACCCCCCATTAAACCACAACCCGATTTTCATGGGCAAGTCTTTCCCCGGCACAGTGGGGGTGACGCCCCGTCGGGGTTGGGCTGAGGCAACGGCGCGGTCCATGAGCTCAAGGAATTGCCGCAAAGACCGGAGCCGGCGCAGGGAACTGAAGGGGTCGCACAGGAAGTCCGCCCGCTTCCTCAGCGACGACTCGCTGACATGCCCAGCTGTTCACTCAGATGCAACCGGTGGCCATGGGAAGGAAAGGGAATCCGACTCTTTTTGGTTGGTTGAACTGGGTAGGTCCACTCCCTCAAGTTGCAAATGGATAAAAGCTCCAGACCGGCTCCCTACCAGCTACTTTTGCCCACTTGTTGCCCACTTGTTGCTGGGGAATTGGGCTCGGGACTCTCAGCCATGCTCTCCTTCTTGGATAAAAGGGGGCCATTTCCGTGACCGGGACTTGTTACGCCTTTGCCCCCCCCCCCCCGGCCGGTTGCCTCACTTGGCTGTGGCTCAAATAAATAGAAACCAAAAATGGCACCAAAAAAAATAATGGAACCAAAGACAAAGAAACCTGCGGCTTGGTCTAGCTCTGCAATTTTGAGAAAGTCGTTGCCTTCCAAAGCTCCCTTTTTAGGGATTGATACGCCAAAGTGTTGGCCCTTGGGCCAAGGCGAAGCTAGGTGTTTTGAATGCGTGGACCCCCCAAATTGGCTTCAGCTTCCTCTTGGTTTCCCTTTGAAGCCAAAATTAAGAGAGAGAAACAAGAACAAGGCACCAACAAAAGATTTTTTTGGTTTTGTTAAGGGCACACACACACACGAGCCACCCATCTCACCGGGACAAACCAACTCCGCCAATCGCTGAGCTGCTGGGCGCCGAAGGCTGCCACGGCCGCGTGGCTCGCCAGCACCGGCCACCTGAAACCCCAGGGTGTTGGGTTCTTCCGACAGGTTCTTGGAGTTTTAGAACGGACGACAGGTGATCAGTGGTTCAACCAGGTGGGATCAAGAAAATTTATCCCCACTTCTGTGATACAAGGGGATCCCCTCTTTATATGGGGGTCTGGCTCTACTCGAAGCCTGGATGCAACAGCAGTGAGGCCACGGGGCGGGAAGATGGGTGTCTGGAAGGGGACCCTTCGAGCCAACGTTTGAGGCGCCCTTTTCCCTGGTGGGTGTCGGAGACGTGGAGACCTGTGAACTCGTTCATTTACAGTGTGTTGCACACAAAGAACGTGGAGACACGCAAACCCTTTGGGAGGCCCTTTTTGTTGTATCACAGAGGTGGTCATTCCCGCAGCCCTGATGGTTCAACCAGGGAAATAAGGGGTTCACATGAACTCGCACATGCGCAGCCCGGAAGTCTGCACAAAAGAAGTGTTGAAATTGTTGAACACCTCCAGAGCCGGGGGGATGAGAAGCAGGGGGCGACGCGGCTACAAAGTAACCCGACCCTTCGACCATCCTGAAGTGGCTCCGATGAAAGGAAGCCCTTTTAAAAAGCAACTGGATTGGAAGCATGGGAGTTGACCACCTCGCTGAATCGAAGGTCATTTCCATCGGAACATGTGCCTCCCGAAAGGCAGATCACTTGCGCGGAAGCCCAATTTCAGTGTCCAAACAGCAGTGTGGTGGGAAAGGGGGGCACTTTCCCAGCAAAACCAGCCCCACATGGCAATGGTTCCTTGCTGAGAAATGGAATCCATTCTGTGATACAAGAAGGGCCCCCCACCCCAGAGGGGATTCCCTCGCACCACAGAAGTGGGGGATAAACCCCGAGTGATCCCACCACAATGCTTGAATCCTTCTGGGCCTCCAACTAAAAAGCTAAAAAGCTAAAAGGCTAAAAAGGCGAGGGGACGGCTGGGAGCTACCAAGAACCATGCTTCAAGAATTAAGAACGCGGATATCCGCAGCTATTATGGTAAGGGGATTGCCCCTTTTTCTTCATCTACCCTTTTGAGAACCTGACTCATTTACCCTCTACAAGAACCGGGGCTTCAAATCCAAATTTGCAAACCGCAAAAAAAAGCACCCATCTTTGGGGGGAAGCTGTGCCTCATCCACCCGACTCGGCTTTTGTCCACTTCTCTAGGGCTTGATTCCTTGTCCATTCTTTTCAACCATCCTTCTTTCCAAAACCCGGATCTGTTTTTGTTGGGGTTCCGGAGGTTTACTAGAAAGATTTGGATTCCTGGAAAGAATGGGGAAGGTACCAATGAGCCGGTTTTGGGGATTCCTGAATAAAGGACACCAACTCAACTCGAAAGATCCCTGGAAAAAATGGGGAAGGCACCCCTAGAAAAGTACCTTTCCAAACCCCAACCCCAAAATAAACCTGGGGACTCACTACAAGGAAGCCACAAGAGATTGCTTTTGTTCAGGAACCTCAAAATGGGTTGTGTCCCTTTTGGTGTCCCATTGTCTGATTCCAAAGAAGCAAAAGAAGCAACAATGGAAAGGCTCTTTTTGGGGGTCAGAATGGAAACGGAAGTACCCCTCGACTTGTCTTAGGAGGTGGGCTTTTTGCAGGGTACCTGTCCAATCCCCAACCCCAAAATGGGTTGTGTCCCTTTGGTTTCCCTTAAACAGCAACAAACACTCGCTGGTGCGATAGGTAGGGAATGACAACGACTCCGGGTGTTGGGAATGAACCTGAGGATCCCCTTGAAGGAAGCAACAAGGGATGGTTTTTCTGGGGGTCATTCCAAAATTCCCAGCTGAGAACCAGCAAGCAAAGGGTACGCAGAAAATGCAATACCCTCCCACCAACGAAAATGGAAGTGCAGCAAGCCCCTTTCCAAGAGGAAAGTTGTCTTACAGGGGTGTGTGAACTTCCATTCTAGTTGGTGGGAGGGTACATTGTCTGACTCTGTTTCACACTTTTGGAAAAATAGATGGCCCTGGAAAATGGTATCAAACAAATCTAAACCGGTGGCATCAATTTCTTTCCAAACTAACCTAAAAAGACACCTAAGGTCATATGTCCTGATTCTGTTTCACATGTCTACCCTTATGAAGTTTTGAGGGAGACCCCAGTGGATCAAGTTTCAGATCGAGTTTGGGCGGATCCAAATTGGGGCCAGTTAACTTGTATACACTCTAGGGACCTACCTCAAAAGTTGATTCAGTGCATTATCGAATTCTGATGTCCAAAGGGCCCCTACTCTCCTGCGAAATAACATGGAACCACGCTAATTTGCAGGAGGCTAGCTGGAGCAGCTCAAACATCATGCTGCAAAGTTCCAAAGTTCTAGAACTTCGAACTTCGCTGCCGGCGCCTCTGCGCCTCAGCGTCCACCCCGGGCAGGCGGACCTGCGCCAAGTTCTGGCGCGAGGCCTCGGTGAGCTCCGCCAGGGAAGCCGCGGAGAGGTCGCCCGCGTTGAAGATGCCGGTCTCCTTCCTGGGCGTTCTCTGACACCCCCAGGGCATAACTAGGTCCTCCAGTAGAGAGGTTAGAATAAGGGTACCCTTTTTTTTCGGTAGTCTTTTTTAGTAGGGGAACCCTCCCCCAAAAGGCACTACTGGGGGACCTAGATTAAATCGGTTGCTTTCTGCTCCCCTGCTAAAAGTGACTGACTTGTAGTGGTTTGATGGAAAACCCATGAGTTGGCAAAAAGTTAAAGTCCTAACATCCCTTGGCAAAATGCCTCAAACATAACGGAGAATCAGACCACTTTTGGAGGGGCCCCCAGCCCCAAGTAATAGACTGGTTGATTAATATATGGGGGTCAACATGAGTGAACTGATGTTCACTGTGGCCTGGAGGTTCATACCTTGGTGGCTTTGAGTCCGACACAATGCCGACCCAGATCCCCTTACCAAATTGTGTCTCAGTGGCCTCCCAAATAACCCACAGAAAAACCCCGGCAAACCTCTCAACCCCAGTGAGCCACCAGCAAACTAGAGGTGCTAACCGTGTAGCCCAAAACCCCAGACAATCTAAGCTATTTGATGTGTTTGACAGATAAAAGTTGGCAAACAGTGTGCATATGCAGGAACAAAGTAATCATTTGCGCATGAAAACGTGAATCGCAATAGATAGATAGATGAGATAAATAGGATAGACGAGATAGATAGGATAGTAGGATAGATAGGATAGAAAGGAAGGTAGGATAGATAGGATAAATAAGATAGATAGGATAGGTAGGATAGATAGGATAGGTAGCATAGATCCATAGATCGATAGACAGACAGACAAATAGATAGATTGACAGATAGATACATAGATAGATAGGCGCATCCCATGTTGGCCCAACCTTTGATGTACAAGATTGGCCTGGCATACAACACACACACACACACGCAAAAAAACACTACGTTGTCAGAGGCTCGTGGCCAAAAGGGCTCCAAAAAAACAACCGCAAACTTTCGCGATTTTTCGGGGACCCATATGGAAACTGGCTTGGGGATTGGTAGATGGGTATGGGTCACAACTAAACCAGGAATTGGACTGTAGTTTTGGTCTATGTTTCCATTTGCCAGGGTAACCCATTTTGGGTACCTATTTTTGACCCACAAACACCCGCGATCAATCCGCACGGCTTGTGAGTCCGGGGAATACATCTCGAGGCCCTAGAAACTACGGCCTGAGTGGCAGGGTTTACTGCAGCCGCAGCCCTGCATGAGTATGGTTCCCCAATGTGCCAACGTATTTTGGGTGTAGCCCTTGAACGTTTTACACCAATCCCGCCTACTTCCATATGGCCCTCCCAAGAGTGAAGGCAATCTAGGAAAAAAAGAAGACAAACAACGAGCTTTTCCCTTTTTTAAAGTTGACCAGGGCTTCACCTGGCCTTGGGTCAAAATCCCGCACCCCCAGTGAACATCCCAATTCCCACTAAAATAGACTCTTGCGGGTGGTGCACCTACCCCAAAATGGTACCATTGGTTTTGACCCACTGCCAAATGGAACCCTTGGTAGATGAAAAATTGACGATTTAATCTGTCCGATTCCTGGTGGTTGAAATTTTTTGACCCATACCCACCTCTCTAACTTCCATAGGTTTCTCAATCCTGGGTTCCTGTTTTCCACCCAACCGCCTCCCTCCCGATGGAACTCCGGGCCGCTGAAGCTGACCACAGTGCCCGAAAAGCTCCTCGAGCCGCTGGGCCTCCTTCGCCAGCTCGGCTTCGCCCGCCTCCCGCTCCAGGTCCGTGATCTCCAGCACCTGCTGTTCTTTTGATATTTTTGTCCGGACGGCGGGGTTAAAGGCCTTGGGCAGCACCTAGAAAGAACAGCTAGACATTTTGGCAGATCGACTCGGGGGAACACCAAAAGATGATAAGGTGGATTTCGCTATGAAGTGGACTGAGCCAAACAACAAAAAGCACAGTACCGTTTTCGGAAAAAGAGCCGACTAAAGAGTGTGTTGCTTATGTTTGCTTTCCCGCGGCTCGCTACCCAGCAGGAAGCCATTGTCGTTCAAAAGTTACAGCTTCTCAGTGTCCCTGTTCGTGGTTTGGATCGGTTTGGAGGTTCGGGCGGCTTCCCCGATTACCCTCTACAAGAACCAGGGGTCTAAACACCCAAGCCACCAATCCAAACCACCCGTTAGGCATAAGCTCATCTGCCGAAAGCCCAAAACCAAACCCCGCGGCCGGATGCCGGCGCCTCCTGCATGAGGGGCAGCGCCACGCCGTTGGTCCCAGGCATCGCCACGCGGTCGATGATGCGCAGCATGCTGACCCCGCGCAGCACCACCCGCACCTCAAAACGGGGCGCGCCCTTAGGAAACACGACTGTAACATCCCCATAAAACGAGGTGAGCAGTACAGAGCTTCTGGGCCCAAAGAACCAGGACAGGGTTGGCGCGAGCGAATTGTCTAACTGTCATGCTCATAAGGGAACTTGCGCGCAAACACTTTGCCCCGCGCCATCGGACCGAAAGAAAAGAAAGAAACACAAGCAGATTGAAAGACAGAAAAGCAGAAGTAAAGACAGAAAGAAAGAATGCATGAATGAATGAATGAATGAATGAATGAATGAATGAATGAATGCATGAATGAATGAATGAATGAATGAATGAAGGAAGGAGGGAGAGAGAGAGAGAGAGAGAGAGAGAGAGAGAGAGAGAGAATCACCTTGGTGGATTCCCAAACGACCCACCAAGTTCGTACTGCAATCCTCTGTGACATCTGGGAAAGCATCCGCGCGAGCTGCTTGGTTTGGAAAGCGGAGCCTGGCAAAGGCTGCGAGGACAGGAATGTGTAACATCATGGAACCAGCACTGGCTTCCTTTTGGAGCTCAGTTGCCTGGCACTTTTTGTGGGGGGCAAGCCACATCATCCTTAGCATCTGCATCCCTGCATGGCTGAGAAAGTCACGCTGAGCGGTACCCAACTTCGCCAGCATTGGGTTTTGGGCACCGCCTAGACTAGCCAGCCCAACGACGACGTGTACGACTCAGGAGTTGCTAGGACATTAGGACTAGCAGTCCTAAATGAACGTCTAGAAATGTCTAGAAAGACAGGTTCCCCAGCTGCAAACATGTGGACGAGATTCTGGGGAATGCGCGCGTGCCGGGGATGGCACAGGGGGGAATCCAGCCTTTGGGTGGGTGGGTGGGTGGGTGGGTGGGTGGGTGGGTGGGTGGGTGGGTGGGTGGGTGGGTGGGTGGGTGGGTGGAGGTGGGTGGGTGGGTGGGTGGGTGGGTGGGTGGGTGGGTGGGTGGGTGCGGAGCGGAGAAGAGCGGAGCGGAGCGGAGCGGAGCGGAGCGGAGCGGAGCGGAAGGGGGGGGGAGTGCCCTAGTTAAGGATTTGGTCTTGGGCTTTTTTAGGCCCCCCCCTCCCCCATCCCTGAGTAAATCAGGCATCCCGGGAAGCTCAGCCCCTACAAGCTCCCGCTAGCAGCTTTCGTGATGAATGGGCTACAGACAGACACACGTGGCCAAAGCAGAAAAAGATCTGCCGGCCTTCCTGAAGGCCAGAAACAGAAGACTTTGCACAACATTGTGTTGTCCACTGAGGTGGGGTTCTGGGTTTCTTAAGTGGCCATGGGTCAAAATCCCGCCCAGTCAACATCCCAATCCCCACTAAAATAGGTTCGACAATGGGTTGTGAATTCACCTACCCCAAAATGGGATCCCATTGGTGTTGACCCACGGCCAAGTGAGTCGCAGCAGACTTCAAGGCGCCAAATCCTCCTTCCTGGACACCTCGACGACCTCCACGCCCACGCAGCCTCTTGGCAAGTATGTGGCCTCGCATGCAGTGCGGCTCGCAACCCCCGATTTCCATCCCAGTGGCTTTCTGGGAAATGGGTATGTGTCAAAATAGCAGCCCCATCAAAAATCATGGTTTTCCTTTTGGCTTCCCTTCAACCAACCCCAAAACATAAGGGCTCAGACTGGAGCCTTGGAATTCACAGAAGCCAAAGCCGAAGGCCTTCATTGCGAGCCCAATTTTGCAGCGCCTCAAGCTTTCTACATGGCACGCAGCGAAACGAAAACCCCAGAGGCAACCAACGAGACGCCCAAACTCAGCTTTAGCCCATGACAATCTTCACTGCGCCCAAGGGGATTTCGTGAATCCCAACTGGTGCTTAGGTGAGCCTACCATTCCATACCATTACGCATGCGACATCCATGGTCTCCACCCAGTGATCCTCCCCCATAATGATGGGGTGGCGTTAAACAGGGGTTGCGCAGGTTTTGGTCCATGTTTCCACTTACCAGGGTTCCATTTTGGTACCGGTATTTTGAGCCACAGCCATAAGGAGAAATGCCTCCAGATCTGTTGCACTTTGTCGAGATCCATTGTTCCCTACACCTTTGGCTTCTACAACCTCGAGGAGCTTCCAATCGATCCTAGAAGGTCTCCCTCATTTGCCCCAAACCCCAAACTTGCGGACACTCGAATTGCACTATCACTTGGGTCTCTGCTGTGTTTTTGTTTTTTTTGGGAGGGGGGGGGGGGAAGGTGAGGCTACCCATAGAGCGGTTTTTTCGCCTCCAGCGGCTCCAGCGGCCAATCCCCCCCCCCGCCGGCGCCTGGGGGATGTCCACGGCCACGCCCAAGAAGCCTCCGTGGTGCTGCAGCGCGTAGTCGACCGCCAGCTGCTGCGGGGAGCCCACGTGGAACAGCAGCCGCTGCAGCCTGGGGTGACACGCGGCAAAAGGGCTGCCCGTTTTCGGATCCCCCGCGAAAAGTGACGAACTTTTAGCCGGTTAAATGGAAACTACCACTAAACACTGAAAGGCTAAAAAGCTAAGGAACCGGATGGCAGCCACCAAGTTCCATCAGGGCTGTGGGAATTGGACAAAGAGATTCCCTTGTATCACAGAGGGGATAAACAGCAAGTGATCCCGCAACCCTGGGTTCCATCGAGACTGCCACTGTTGCAGCTGCCGAAAATGGAAATGGAGGAAACCTTTCAGAGGGTAATTCTGAGGATCTCAGTTTGATGGAGCCAGAAAAATGAAGGAACCAAGTACAACAAAAGACGTACAAAGGCCAAAAGCGGAAGACAGACAAAAAAAACGCGAAAGCAAATGCAAGCAGCCGAAAACTAGAAGCAGGTTGGGATACGGGTGGATAAAAATAGGTTTTGGAAGTCTCAAATGTTCGATCACTTTCGGTTGCCGCTGGTCAGGCGTGCAAACTTTGGTAAATCTTTCCGGGCTTCACGACGCCAAGTCCCAAAACCCACCTATCTAAGCGCTGTTACTGGCAATGTTGACCCCATATTAATCAACCCCACTTTAGCACTGGCTCCAAAAGTAGCCTGATTCCCCACTAAACAACGAATCCGACATATTAATAAGCAGGGTTTGATTAATATGGGGTCCACATTACCAGTAACGGCGCTTGGATAGGTGGGTTTGAGGACTTGGCAACATCACTACTGTCACCACTGTGTCTGGGACCACTGTCACTACTGTGACCGGTACTGCTGTTACCACGGTTACTGGCACTACTGTTACCACCGTAACTGGCACCACTGTCACTGCGAAAGACCTGGCACAGCTTGCGTTTCTCGTCGCGGGGGCCACAGATGAGCAGCATCGCCCCCCAAAAGGATCCGAAGGCATCCTTCAATTTGAGCCCTGGGAGCAACAGTTAGAGACAGGACCGAACTCGACAGGTGCGACGTCAGAAGCCTCCACAGCTCTCGGCCATCCGCATGTGTCGGCTGTCAGCTGAGTGCCCCACTTGGAACCCCGGATTGGCGATGTCCCAAAGTGCCCACTGCAATCCCGTGGCCCGAAATTGGGCGACCCAAAATCTCAGATAGCAAAAGAAGACCGCTTTTGACGGCAACATCTGCTCTCTCCCCTTTTGTGAGCCCCAGCGATTTGTGCTCCTCCCCATCTGAGCAGCTGCCCCACATTCGGCACAGTGAAGATGGGCAAACGAACCACGGCGAGTGTGCGGAAGGGGCTGAGATCGATGTCATCCAGCTCTTCCAAGACTACGTCGTTGTAGCGGTTCCGCAAGATCCTCAGATCAACTGGGTCAGGCCCGTTTGGGCATGTCAAAATAGGGGCACCACAACACACACACACACACACACACACACACACACACACACCAATATGGTAAAGCAAACAACCAAGACTCCCTAACCTACACGACCATGTCAGCAACCCATCAGCCAAAGTGGCATGCCGGGAATCCACATCCTGGAGTCATGCCAACGTCGGTCCCATGCCACTGAACTGAAAGGCCATTGGTCCCCTTTGGGTTTCCCGTTGCCATGAAAAAAGGCACGAGGCTCCTATTTGGAGACAGGCCCGAATGCACACAGGTCCCCCGCTTAGGCCTTGAGGCCGGGAAGGGGAGCTAGCAGCGCTCGAACAGCCCCTGCGTCTTTGCAAACAACGCGCATGACACAGGGAATGCAAGAGCGCGTAAGGCACGAGTCTTACCAGCGGGAAAAGAGAGCGAAGAGCGAAGAGCGGAGCAAAGAGCGGGGAATGGGGAGAAGGCGGCGGAAAATCACTGGCCCTACCGGCCAAAGCAAGAGGGTGCTCCAGCTGCCAGGCTGGCTTTTCGCCCTGACCTTCCCCCCTTCGGCGAAAAGCCCTTCAAGTTGGAGCCTTCCGGTTCGCTGTGGCGAGCCTTCCGTCTGGCCAATTGGCAGCTTGACCAAAGCAAACCGAGGCATTGGCAAGAAAGCTGCAGGTCACATGCAAATGCGCACCCATCCCTTAAGCTGTTTTCCAACCCCCCCCCCTGCCCCCCCCCCCCCAAACCGGCTGTTCGCCAGAGCGTCACGTCCATGTTGGCAGGGACTTCGAGCGGCAAAGCTCGCCAGGCCTCCACCCCGGGGGCCGCCTCCTTCCGCGCCCTCCTGCGGAGTCGGCTTGCTGCGCCCTGGCCACCGGACTGCTGGCGGTGGCCGATGGCTGAGGCTGAGGGTGGCTGAGGCTAGACGCTTAAACACAGCCCACCCGCACCGCTTCTCTCCTGGCAACTGCCCGGCGCAGCACTGTGAGGCACATGAAGCCCAGCGGCGCGCCATGCATAGGCCTCGCGCCAAATGAATGCTGGGGGGTTGCGGGACATCGCTGAGACCGGGCCGCAGGAAGTTCAGCCAGAAAATTCGGACGTTGCCCAATTGGTCAAGCCAGGGTGGATGAGCTTTGCTGGACTGCGCGCAGGCACAAGACACCTTCGATCAAAGCCAAGACCCGCAATGCAAGGATCAGGTCAGACAGTGCCCCAAGTAAGTCTAGCAATGCACAATCTTGACAAGGCGCCAGGGAACAGGCTGTCAAAGCCGGGAAAGGTGCGACAAAAGGCACACGAATGGGCTTGCTCAAGCTCCTGTCTAATTACCAAGAAATAAGCCCTTTGTTGGGCCCAACGTCGTGACCAAGGGGCTCAAGCGTTTCTTCGGAACCCATCCTTCTGAAGTCACTTCCTTCTGCGCCTTTGTCCATTTCCTGAGAATCCAACACGTCCTTGACCCGAGAAAGTCCAGACCCGCAGCCTGTGGAGCGCTTTGCTCCCCCGGCGCGCCGCAGCCGCCGCAGCCGCTGCCGGCGCTGGCGCCCTGAGGGCCCCTGGCGCCCCTGGGGGAGGCGGCGCCAACGCCATGGCGCCGGCGGGCAAGCCCTGAGCCGCCGACTGGCGCTGCGGGAATCGAAAACGCAACCGCCGTGTTCCTCACTGACTGTTGACGGCTCCAAGAAATGCAGAGCTTTCCAGCTCCAAGAGTCTGGCCCGCCCATTGTGGCTCGCTTCTGTCCGGGGGAGCAAAACAAGACACCGACCCAAACCTGAGAAACTGGAACCCTTCACCGGCGTAGGGGGAAACAAAACATACAAGTCGGGTCCCCATGTCCTTTTCTCGGCACCGGACATCTCCTTGGCACACACCCCGTCCTTCAGAAGGGGAGGAAAACTCCCCAACCGCTTGCCTGACACACGCAAGACCGGACAGGGCACACCCTTTTGCCCGCCAGCCAAAAAAAGTTCGGCCGCGCATCCTCATAGAACATGTCTGCAGCCCCACCTCGGCGGAGCGCAAGCTTGCGACATGCAGAAGCGAAATGCCTGGCCTTGTTCACCCCGTGCGAAACTGAAGAGAGGTAGCTGAAGGCAACAGAGAAAGGGCAATGCGCCACAGCTTCTGCAGGGCAATGTCGCTTGGGCGGCCGAACAATATATTTAAAAAAATGGGGCCTCAAGCAGCTTCATCAAAGTCAAAGCAACGTCTTGCATTCGCCCCAAAGCTTGGCTGGAATTAGGACCCCAGCAAAAACATATTTGTTTGCCTGGTTAGCGGAAAACAAAGGGACCCCAACAAAGCAAAAAAAATAAAAAGGGGAACTAATTTCTGGGGAAGAAAGTGTCGGCATGCTCGGCTAAGCCCGGCATGAGCGCCCTCCCTCGACTCTCAAACTTTGATTCACCGAATCCTCGAATGATTGCTTTCTCGCCTTGTATACTTCCTTCCATTCCTCGAAATGTCAACTCATCGACTATTCAACTCTCCTCGATTCCTCCGCGGCTCGAATCGATTCTTCAAATCCTCGAAACCAGTCTTTGCCTCCTCGATTCCTCTAGTACCAGATGTGTAGATTGCTCAGTTCTTGAACTCTTGCAAATATTGATTCCTCAACCCCTCGATTCTTCAATGCTCAATTATTCGATCGATTGTTGGATTTACGATTGTGTGTTTCTTCGATTATTCGATCTGCGAATTGTTCCAATCTTCGATTCTTCTGTGACCCAAGTTCGATTGTTGCCGTGTGCCCTTGCCAAGCTTATCCTCTCATGTTGGACGAAAGCTACTTCCTTTTGTCTTGGGATCGTGCGGGATGTTTTGTTTGTTGGTGTGTGTTTGGGGTCCTTCTGCAAATAAGACCTGGGGCTTGGCAAATACTACCCAAAACCCGTTTGTCACTGGCCCGCATCCGATGCAAGAAATGACAATGGGCTTGGAAAGATTTTTCATATTCTGAATTAGTGGGTCAGTCCAACTCTGAACCAGGCCAGGCACCAAAAATGGGATGCTGAATCGCCTGCACCCTTTTCGAAAGGCGCTCCCTGACTCCCTGACCGAAAGTCGGAGCAATCTCTTCAACCAGAACAGGCCGTCATGAGACGCGGCTGTCTGCTCCCTTTCCTTCCCCATTCCCTCTGCTTCTCCTATTCTGACTCGGACTTCATGAAGGGCGTCTGCGCTTCTCCCCACCCTAAACCCTAAAGCAGCTTGGGAGAGGGAAGTCGAAAGGATACGAACCCTTTTGAAGTGCCCCATAGGTGCACACGCCTCGTGGCATGAACTCTCCCACGTAGGCACGGGCAGGTGGTGACAATGCGCTCATCTTGCATCCTGATTAGGGAAATGAGTGGGGCGAAGCGCCCATCACATCTTCAAGGACTGCACCACGATGCAAAGAGCGCGGCAGGCTGGAGCTGCTGGTGCAGGAGGCTGACCCGCGCATGGTGCAAATCGCTGGATCTAGAACCCCTCCAGGGGTGGTCCCTCCAAAAGTGGTCTGAACCCCCCTCTAAAAATGGGCCCCATCAACACCAGGGTCCGGGTGAACCTTGCCAGTCTGATGCATCGGATCTCGGATCCTTCCCTGGGACTCCCGAGTTGTTTGGAGCATCTTCAAATGGCTGTGGTTCTTACCAGGCGATGTAACCAACTTTTCGGCACGCCAGCGGCCGCGGAATGAATTTTGATGGTGCCCCTAGTCGGCACTTGCTAGACACTATCAGCGACCAGAAAGCACTTGTACTGCAACCTGCTAAACATAAAAGAATACCAGGTGAGAAAGTACTAGGCAAGAACGGTAAATGAGCAACCTCATGTCAATTTGTGGAGGCCAGCAAAGAAAAGACTTCCTATGCGTAGTGCTGGTGGCTGTCTGTTTCATGCAGGAAACCTTCGCATCCAGGATGAGCAAAATCTAAAGCTCTGAGATTGAAACCTCACAGTTTCAGTAGGTTTGCTTGCGCGTCCCGTCGCCGCAAACCGAACTTGTGCGTTCCTCTTCTTTTCCCTATTCGACCAAGCCGCGGCTGCAGAAAAATGTCTTAAACCTTAAACGACGGCACCTTGAGAGCGCTGCTTTGCAGCACATTAGCATGTGTGGCCAACAATGGCAGCCAGCGATGTAGCATCCTTCACTACACCAGATTGGTGAAACCTGTTTTACTTTGAGGCTGCGATTTTGCGGTTCGTCTTTGAATCGGAGCATTGAGGTCTGTAACCTTTGCATTTCATCAGCTTGTGTAGATCCGGGGTCCCAAGCAAGTGGCGCCGTGCATGCCCCAAACCCTAAATCACTGTTTTGATTTTGCATCTATCTGATGCTAGCGCTGGGCAGCTTACATGCAGTATTGGCGTTCATCCGCTGTCGGTGGACCTGCACACTCATTTCTACTCAGCGTTTCCTAAACCATGTCCTATGAAACCTTGGCGGGAAACGGTGTGAGAGTCCACCAATTTGGTTGTTCCGGAACCGAGCCCGGGAAAAAAACAACTACAGTTGTGGTGTCCCAAGTCTTTGCCCAGCCCCCCCCCGGGGAGGGCAGTTGCTTGGCCTCGGGGACCCCATCAGCAAGGCCGGGGGTCCAAACCCAAGACGGTGGCCTGGGGCCGTTCACTAACAAGGCTCAGCCTGGCATGGGCTTGAGCGGTTCTCCGAAAGACCGAAACTGAGGAAAAGGCCTACCGCTGGAACCTTGGCACTTCCCTACCCCCAAATCCTTACTGGACCGAGTTGATCTGGGCTCACAAGCCAGGCCGTTCGGAGCGGTGAAACTTGTATTTTTCGCAAGTGGCGCACGCTCAGAGAGCAGCTGATTGTGTAGGCTCGGTGGGCAGGCAAAGGGCTTCAGGAAGGTTGTCGGCGATGCCATCTGTGTCTTCTGTCTCATCTGTTGCAGACCTCCTGAATCGATTCGGGCAGAAGCTTGGAGACCCAAACTTCCAAATCCAAGGCGGAACTTCCTTCCGAGCCACCCCACAAAGGCAATGCCAACAACCAACATGTTGGCAGGCGCTGGGCGTGAAACTTGGTTGGGACCTTTGGTGGGCACATGGAAATTTATTTGACCACACACTGGGGGCCCCATCTCTAAAACGAAGCCGATTAAACAGCAATGTCTGTCCTCCTCCGTTTAACAAGCAAATGGGATCCGGAAATTGACTGCATCCACCTATAAATTTTCTTGCCATGTAAAGCCGAGCGCTACTCTGCCATTTCCGTGCCATGACCAGCGCCACAGGCCAAAGCGTTTGGCTCGCATTCTCTGAAGACATCTCGAGGACAAATTCAATGACAGTGCAAGCAACACTGGATTCTGGTTAGCTTCACCCTCGCACTTCTCTCATCTTCTTGTTTGGGAGGGAGCAGCCCCGAGCCGTGCCTTTTCACCTCGGAGCGGCCTTTTTTCCTAGCCAAAACATAAGTTGCAACTGTACAACTGAACATGATTGTTGGCGCGTTGGGCTACGTATTTCAGCACTCCTCCTTGCTGGAGGGCGTAAGGTCACCCACACAGAAACTATACAGTGCGGTAGACAAAGCCTGGACCAGGCTTATGAATCTGAAAAACTCATCTGGCCTTCACTCATGTACTGCGAACACGAACCCTGAGCGATTGAGACTATCCTTGTCAGCACATCGGATTCGATACGCTTGCCGGGGACATGGACATGGTCTACCTTCAATGGATTCATCGCCACGCGACCCTGCAACCAAAGATGGCGCGTCTGTGTGTGCGGGGCGCCTTCCCCACCTTTCGCAGCGGTTGCATCCGACTGCACAAGGACTTCTGCTTCCACTCAAGTCGGGCTTGTAGCCCCAAACCAACGGATCCGCCTTTCACCAAGGCGTAGTACTCCAACTCACCCACACGCAACGCAGCGGTGGATTGCACGGCTCAGCACGTGGCTACCATAGAGGGCAACCATGCCGGCGCACTACGTCTCGTCACGGCGTCTCCTTTTACAAAAGAGCTCTGCCGATGTCCAATGTCCCATAGTCCCAACTTCAGGGGCTTAAAACTTTGTCTGTCGACCAAGAAAGAAAACGCATCGCTCCAGCGCAACTGTAGACGAAAAGATTAGATCCTCCGGCAACTGCCCATTCGGTTTGTAGCTGCCTTGATCTCACAAGCAACCAACCTTCACCGGTAATGTTCGTGTCTAGCCATCATTGGACGAAGTCCTGCAGCACGCCGGCGCCTTCCGGTCGAAGTCGTCCATCTCAAGAACTCTAGCCTTGTTCACTTCTCCTGCTAGTAAAAGTCCTCGGTACACATCACCCCAGTACTTCTGAATGTGGTCTACTAGAAGGTTCCTCGCAGATTGGCATTGACAAGAGATCAACAAACGGTTTCCTTTCTCACATAGCCAGTGCCTTGAAGACCACGACGGTCAGTCGCCATCATCTCCCAGCAGCATACAGGCCCTCGGACCAAGTATACGTCCGATCAATCCCCCAGCTCTCCACTTCGCGCAGGAATAGGCGCCCTGCCTTGAGTTGTGTAACTATTCGAATGCTCTGTCCATCCAGATCTTCCGTTGGTCCGGGCTGATCCTATACTTACTGGCGTTCTGTTGTTGGTCGCTTGGCGGGCCACGTGCATCCTGCTCGATGATCTTGCCTAC